GCGCCGGGACCGTGCAGGGCTGCTCCGCGCGGCCCGCTCTCCTCCTCTTCTTTTCGGGCGGAGCCTCCTTCCTTCCTTCCGCCGCCGGGCCCCTCCGTCCTCCTGAGGGGGAGAAAGAGAAGCGGGTCACGGCTGCATCCCCTGCCCCACAGGAGAAGCCCAGGCCGAGGCCTTCACCGTCTCCCGTAACTTCCAAGCAGGCCCCGCGCTCTATTTGCATCCGGTTTCTCTTTGTCCGAACCGCACCGCTCCTTCCGTCAGCTCTCTGATTCCGGAAGTGGGGCGAGACCTCCCAATCGCCGCCCCTTCCTCTCTAGGCAGCGCATCGTTTAGGTCTCCTCGAACGTGCGCTTTCTGGAGGTTTCGGATGGAAAAGCCCCGCGGCTCTTGGCGAGACGGAGGCCCAGAGTGGAAGGGGGGGGCGGGGGGCTTGTCTTTGTAGCAGGTGGGAGCGCAGCCCCAACCCCCAGTGCCATCCTTGCATCTGGCAGAAGTACGGAAGCCGAGAGAGACATCGTTGCCCCAGGCCCTCCACTGGGGAAGAGGGGAACTGAAAGGACCTGAAAGAGGACTCGGTGGGGCCCGAGGCCCCGTCCACGCAACACGCTTCCCACTCCTGGCTTTGCGCATCCTGAACCCCCGCTGGCCTCACGGGCCGACTGCAAAGCAAAATTAACCCGAGTTAAGAGCAGCCAAGCTGAGCAGGCCAAGCAAATACAGCTGTGAGGGTGTCCCTTCGGGGGGGGGGGGGCAGATCACACCTGGGGAGCCATCAAAAGGAACCCCTTCCCCACCTCCCAGGTGAGTCTCTTCCTAGGACACTTTCCAGGATTCGATCATGGCTTCCCCATTAATCAACCCTGCGAGGTAGGGCAGCCCCTCAACTGCAAAAACAATAACCACGATTACTGTTGATTCAGTTTTACTCTTGCTTCAGCAAAAGGACCGTTTTGCTATTTCTTTTATTCTTATGGTTTGTTTAGTGGTTGCGCTGTTCTCATTTTCTTCCTGCTTCCCTCTCCAGGAAAGGGCCAAATAGGCATTTTCACTTTTGAATACAACTCTGATATATTAGCTACCAATAGAGGAAAGACTTCCCCAAGTCCAGGAGCCTTCTGAAACCAACCTGCCTCTTGGAAGGCACCTTCACTCTGATAACTGACAGTAACTGGCAGTTTAGCCTGCATGGATGAGGTCATAAAGCCATCAGAATTCCCATGGAGATGACAGGTGGCCTATCAAACCTCACCTGCTCCACCTTTTGCATCAATGCCAGGCAAATGTCTATAGGAGGCGCCAGACCAATCACTAAAGCTGCCCACTTCTCATGTTTTTGCACAAAAGGTCGATTGTTGGGTGTCAAGTGCCTCTTTCTAGGGACGCTTCACAAAGTCTCATTTATACAGCCTCAGGTCAACATCCCATCACATTCCCTTTGTGCTGCCATGCTGTTGTTTTGTTCCATCATCCCAGGTGAGCTCCCTCCATTATTTCTGCTTAGGTGCAGACACATTTTTCTGAACCCCAAAGTATTGTTAAATGGTGCCAAGTTTAAGGACGGAGAGAAATTCTCTCGAATTTTGAACTTCAATTACCAGCAGGATTGGGTGGTTTTCCTTTTTGTGCAGGTAGCCTATAGCAAGTCTGCACAGCAGCACTGACTAGGCAGGGCGGAGGGAGGGCTGGACCCTGTGTCACAGCAGCCCTCAACTGTAGCCCTTGGACAAGTATCCGGCAGGGATCTTGTCCACAGCTGCCCAGTTGAGAATCCAACATTCCTGATGGACATCCAGATTCCCACAAGGCCTCTCATTCCTCCCAGGACAGCCACCTCTGCTAGTTGCCATAATAGTAATCTAAAGTCAAATCCCTGTAATTTAAACCATTGTTTCTTGTCCTACCTTCTGGAGCTGTTGTAATAACGAGGCAGTCGAGGTGTTTGATCATGATCAACTGATTCATGATGATCTTTATTGGAATCTAGTCTTGCATTTATACACATTTTTAGTAATCCTCTAACATTGGTTAACTTTGGTTTCTGCTTGACTTTCGTTATTGTTCAGCATAGTAACTAACACAATTAATGATCTCTAGTCAAAGTCCAACATATGTTTACTTCCTCTCTGTAATCTTCCTTTAGATGAGTAACTTTGTTTGCCTGAGTTGTATTTGCTTGGAAACATTCTTTTCTCTCAGGTTTGCCATCCAAGATAAAGACATTCCTGCAATTACAACTCTACATGGAGCAAAGAAAATTTTGAAGGGACCTTGGAGGTCTTCTAGTCCAGCCCCCTGCTCAAGCAGGAGAACCCATACCATCTCAAGACAAGTGACTGTCCAGTCTCTTCTTTAAAACCTCCTCCAGTGATGGTTTGTGGAGGCAAGCTGTCCCACTGGTTAATTGTCCTCACTGGTAGGAAATTTTTTCTCAATTCCAAGAGAAGAAATGAAAAACGACAAGCAAAGCCAGGATGAGGGTGCCGGAGAACCACATTAACTGCATGGGGCTGCATTGAAATGAGCATTGTACTAAAAGAATGCTTGCATGGGGGAAAAGCGTCATGAGCCTCACAAGCTTCTGTTGTGAAAAAAAAATACAATTATGATCAACTGAAACTTCTAGCAAGTGCAACCGAAAAAGTCCTTTATTATTCAGCCTGAGAAAGTCCCTTATCAGACAGTTGTAAAGTTACAAGCATCTAGAAACTTTCTATATTACAAGGTTATGATAAAAATACGAAAGTTACAAGGAAATACAAGAAACCTGTGGTGTCCATAACTTGAATTGCTAAAGAGGGAATAAAGGTAGCACTGGATCAGGTTGGAGGCAAAAAGGAGAGAAAAGGGTGAGTTGGCTCATTAATAATCAAGAGTGCAGTTTATTCTCTGTATGGAAGGATGGAGTGTGCCAAAAAGTACAGAAGGGGCAAGTCTTATTTTCAAGGGAAGAATTAACCCAGGAGAAAACTCCCTAATTTCCAGGCACATGGAAAGACCTGTGGGGACAACGGAAATTGGTAAGTTTCCTCAGAACGTTCCAGTAGCAACTCCTGAATCGTAAGGTGCAACTGTTTCTTCTAAGACAAAAATAGAGGACCTATCATTCCTGTGGGATTGAAATAGAGGACCTATCATTCCTGTGGGATTGAAATTTGCCGTGATGCCATGCACATCATGATCATTTCCAGAAGTCAATGGGAAAGCCAGCTGGAAGTCTAACGTTGATCATAAGTGCCAATGCTCTCTGCCAACTTCCTACGAGTGAAAACAATTAATCAGTGGAACAGCTTGCCTTCAGAAGTTGTGAGTGCTCCATTCCGGGAGGCTTTTCATAAGAGACTGAACTTGTCTGGAATGGTATAGGATCACAAGATTGGAGCACAAGACCTCCAAGGTACTTTCCAATTATTATTGTTATTCTGTTGCTGTGCATGTACACCGAGACCTTCTGCACTGGAGACATATTCCTTGCACATCTAATTACACTTGACCAAATAAAGTATTTAATTTGATTTGTATTTTTATTACTATGATCATGATTATCACTTATAGCCATTATGTACAATGAAGTTTATGCACCAAAGACAAATTCCTTGTGTCCAATCACACTTGACCAATAAAGAATTCTAATCTACTCAGACATACATCATGACCGAAAGTCATTCCACACTCAGACAAGTTTATTGTTTTTTCCCCATGTGAATCCTTCGATACAGAAGGAAGCGCTTCTCACTCACGACATTTATACGGTTTTTCTCCTCTGTGGAGTCTTTGATGTGAATTACGGGTTTGCTGTGAATTGAATCTCTTACCACATTCCAGGTATTTGCAGGTAGCCCTCGATTTACAACTACAATTCAGCCACAAATTTTTCTTGCTCAGTGAAACATTTAAGTGGATTTTATGACCTTTCTTGCCAATTATGTAAATCACTGTAACTGTAACACAGTTAAGTGAATCTTAAGTGGTTTTGCTTGTAGGAAGGTCACAAAAGGTGACCAAATGATCCCGGAACACTGCAACCATCATAAATAGGAGTCAGTTTACCAACGTCTGAATTGTGATCATGTGACATAAGTGTGAAAAACAGCCATAAGTCACTGTTTTCAGTGCCATTGTAACTTTGAACAGTCACTAAATGAACTGCTGTAAATCAAGGACTAACTCTATCTGGTTATTCTCCCATGTGGATCCTTTGACGGTTATAAAGACTTCCACTCTCACAGAAACTCTTTCCATACTCCAGGCCCTGATATTGTTTTCTCGTGTGAAGCATTTGATGTCTATAGAGAGAACCTCTCCGACTGAAGCTCTTCCTACATTTCAGACACTGATAAGGTTTTTCTCCCGTGTGGATTCTTTTATGTGCATAAAGGATGCTCGTGTGACTGAAGCTCTTTCCACACTCCAGGCATTTATAAGGTTTTTCTCCCGTGTGGATTCCTAGATGGTTTTGAAGATGGTTATTTCTTTTGAAGGATTTTTTTACAGTCTGGGCGTTGATACTTCCTTTCTCCCTCCTGGATCCTTTGGGGACTCCTGGGTCTTCCTAGAACCCTCTGCCCTCCTGGCATTTATTCGGTTTCTCTTCTGAGTGGATCCTTTGATGTCTCTACAGAGAACCTCTTATGTTGAAGCTCTTCCCACATTGCAGACACTTAAAAGGTTTTTCTCCCATGTGGATTCTTTGATGCTTGTAGAGGATGCTCCTGTGACAGAAGCTCTTTCCACACTCCAGGCATTTATAGGGTTTCTCTCCTGAGTGGATCCTTTGATGTTCATAGAGGATGGTCTCATTACCAAAGGTTTTTCCTCATGTCAGACATTTATGACATTTTTCTCCCATGTGAATTCTTTGATGTGCGTAACAGCTGCTTGTCTGACTGAATCTTTTTCCACACGCCAGGCATTTATTAGGGTTCTCTCCTGAGTGGATTTCTTAGATAGCTTTGAAGAAGGTCACTTGTTCATTTGTTCTACTGAGTGGATTCTTAGATGTTTTTCAAGGATTTGAATGGTTTTGAAGCCTTTTTCACATTCCCAGCAATCGTAGTGTTCTTGTAAATGAATTACTTGATGTTTACTAAGGCTGCTGCTATGACCAAAGTTCTTTCCACACTCCAGGCACTTATAAGGTTTCTCTCCTGAGTGGATCCTTTGGTGTCTATAAAGGATGCTGCTATGACCAAAGTTCTTTCCACACTCCAAGCATTTATGAGGTTTTTCTCCTGTGTGGATTCTTTGATGTGCATTAAGGCTGCTCGTCTGACTGAAGCTCTTTCCACACTCAAAGCATTTATAAGGTTTTTCTCCTGTGTGGACTCTTTGATGTCTATCATGGCTGCTCCTGTGAGGGAAGCTCTTTCCACACTCAAAGCATTTATAAGGTTTTTCTCCCGTGTGGATTTTTAGATGGCTTTGAAGAAGATCTTTTGTTCTGAAGGATTTTTCACATTCTGGGCATTCGTATTTCTTTTCTCCTGAATGGATGCTTAGATGGCCTTGAAGATGTCCATTTCTTTTGAAGGATTTTTCACATTCCGGGCATTTGTATTTTTTTCCTCCCTCCTGCATCCTTTGGGGCCTCCTGGCTCTTCGGAAGGACCCTCCGCCCTCCAGGGATTTATTTAGTTTCTCTTCTGAGTGGATCCTTCGATGTTTATGAAGGCTGCTGCTATGACAGAAGCTCTTTTCACACTCCAGGCACTTATAAGGTTTCTCTCCTGTGTGGATTCTTTGATGTTGTGTAAGATCTCTTGTCCGATTGAAGTTCTTTCCACACTCAAAGCATTGAAATGGGTTTCCAAATAAGTGGATTCTTAGATGCCTTTCAAGATCTCCATTTCTTTTGAAGGATTTTTCGCATTGTGGGCACTGATATTTCTCTTCTCCCTCCTGGATCCTCTGGGGATGATTCCCAGGTCTTCCGAAGGACCCTCCACCCTCCAGGCATTTATTCAGTGTCTCCTCCGAGTGGATCCTTTGTTGATGTCTATAAAGGTATTCCTTCAGATGGAATCTCTTTCCACACTCCAGGCATTTGTATGGCTTTTCTCTGGAATGGACCCTTTGATGTCTAGAAAGGTTTCCCAACTGACTGAAGCTCTTTCCACACTCCGGGCATTTATGAGGCTTTTCTCCTGAGTGGATTCTTTGATGTCTATCAAAGTTGCCTCTATGATTGAAGCTTTTTCCACACTCCAGGCATTTAAATGGTTGGTCTTTTGGGTGGATCCTTAGATGGCTCTGAAGATGTGAATTTGTTTTGAAGGATTTTTCACATTCTGGGCACTGATACTTCTTTCCTCCCTCCTGGATTCTCTGGGGATTCCCGGGTCTTTCGAAGGACTCTCCGCCCTCCAGGCCCGTGTCGGGGTTTCCGCCCGTTTCCTTCTCCCCGCATCGCCCTCCGGGCAGCCGCCTTTCCCGGAGTCCCCTTCGACTCATTCCCTCCTGCAGCCCCGGAGACTGCCGGCCTTTTCCAGCCTCCTCCTCTCGAGCGGCGCCTCCTTCTTTCCTCTGCCGGGCTCCTCTGTGCTCCTGCAAGGGGAGAAATAGAGGCGGGTCGCGGCTGCGTCCCCTTCCCCGCAGGGAAGGCCCGGCCGAAGCCTCCGCCTCTCACGGGCCTTCAGGGAGGCCCCAGACGGGCATGACCCCGCCCCCCCCCCCGTCTCCCGCGACTCCCAGCAGGCCCCGCGGTCTACTTGCATCCGGTTTCTCCGCCTCCGAAGCGCACCGTTCCTTCCGTCAGCTCTCTGGTTCCGGAAGTGAGGCCAGACCTCCCAATCGCCGCCTCCTTTCCGTGAAGACCCGCCCAGCGCCTTCTTTAAGTCTTCTTCGATTTTTCCGAATGTGGGATTTCTGGGCTTTCACGCCGTTCGTATTTGCATACGTGTGCCCTCTGCACCCTCCCATTGGCTGCCGCCCGCGTGATCCCGCCCTTTCTCGCTCCGTCTCCTGGCTCTGCTCCGGGTCTTGGCTCCTCCCCCTACCTTAGCTCCGCCCCTCTACGGGCCTTGTCGGCCGCGCCAAGCCCGGGGTCTCCTTTCGGGGCGGGGCGGCGGTTGAGGGGATACTCTGACAGGAAGCCCCGCCTTCCCAACGCCCGGACTACCTCCCCCCCCTGTAAAACGCCTTAGGAGGGGGAGCAGAAAGGGGGGGGGGCGTTTCCCGTGCCCTTCCTCTGCCTCCCCGCCCCCTCCCCCGGCACCCCCTGCCCCCACCTGGTTACCCACCCACCCACCTGTGGATCCCCCCATGTGTCTGAAATGGTCTCCTGCTTGGGCAGGGGGTTAGACTAGAAGACCTCTGAGGTCCCTTCCAATTCTGTTATTCTGTTCCTGGCCAATTTGGGTGAGCAGGACTACTTATCCTGCCTTTCACACGTGCAAAGCTTCTCCTGCTAACGTTTCTCCTACCAGACGGTCAGAAATAAAACCCAGCCTTGTGAAACACAAAGCATTTTAATGCAAAAGAGACAAATTCCACTCGGAATCGAGTAAAAAAATAAAAAAAATGTGTTCAAAGCAGCTGCTATTCCAATTGTGGGAGGCCATGGTTTGCTTGCTCACACACAGGTCTGCGCAGGGATTCAACTGACCCCGATGTCTTAGAAGCACAGCTACGTTTTCTTCCTTTCCCCAAAATGAGAAACAGTCCATATAACCCAAATAGCTTCTTTCAAGAATCCAAGTCAACATAGCTACGGCCAATCACTTCCTGCTTCTCCTTTCCTGGAAGGTCACTCCCATCACTGGGAGTTGATGCAAATGGTCTTGGGAGAAGCAGCTCAGGCCTGGAAGAAGGGGGGAGTTGTAGCAAAAATCCTATGGGTTGCAGAATTGTGTCTCAGCGCTTACACGAAGGACTTGGTTCCACCCTTTGGTTAACAAAACACAAAAAAAGCGACCTGCCCCAACAACACATACCTTTATCAAGGCTTAACACCAGATCTAGCATGTCGGGACTGTCCTGCTGTCACAAATAAGAGCAAAAAGGGCGTTTTGGTTTGCCAGACAGTGCAATGTTCACAATGCAGTTGGACAACTAGGACTCGTGCCAATTTCCTCAAGTTTCCATCTGCCAAAGTCCCAGAATTCTCAGTGTTGACCATGCCGGCTGGGGAATTCCGAAAACCGCAATCCTAGCCTCTGTTGGTTACGCCAGATTGGGGAAGGCAGCTTTAGAAGTGAGGAAGGCAATTTCCCTGCCTCCTAAGACAGGAGATGCTGCTCATAATTGTCAAAATCTACCCAGTAGCAAAGATGCCAGAGGTAGAACTTTGCCACCCCAAAAAACTCGACCCCTCGCTGGGTTTGGGGGTTTCATTTCCAGGCCAAACACAGGAGGGCCCCAGAAACACACACTGGAGTTTAGGAATAGAGAGACTAATGGAACCAAAGGGGCTGCTGCCGTCACAGATGGATCCTCCCCCTTTTCTGGAGGCGCCGGCTTCTCCGGATCCTGCCTGGGCTGCTGTGGTCCGAGTCGACATATGTTCCAGGCTCCTGAAAAGAAGACAAGATTCAATTGTACCCTACAGAGGGATTCCTGGGTCTGGCATATTGCTTGCACGCCCACCTCGGAAGGATGGAAGGCCGAGTCAACCTTGAGCCCGGTGGAGATTCGATCTGCCAAACTGCAGGCAGCTGGCAGTCAGCAGAAGTAGCCTGCAGTACTGCACTCTGACCACTGGGCCACCATGGCTCTTAAATTGCGTATTTGTGGTAAGATACCACAGGTCTACATAGAAAAAAGCACTAAAATCCCCCTTTTAAGGATTCCCACCAGCAAGATTACCTCCAGTTCCTCGCTGGCCTCCATTGTTTCAGCAGGGCCATCTCTGGTTGCTCCTTGGGGTTCTCTCTCAGCCTCCCCCTCTTCTCCTTCCTGCCCCTCTTCTTCTTCCTCCTCTTCTCCTTCCTCCTCCTCCTCTTCCAAAGACGAGCTGGAATCTTCTCCCTGGCTGCTCTCCCACCACCTGCCCCCCGAGAGGGTCGTGGCCACCCTGGGAGGGGGCAGCGCGGCCAGAGCAGCTGGGAAACTAAAGGCCGCCAAGAACCGTTCTCTCAGGAGCTGATAGGCAGGGTTGTCCTGGAGCTTCTGGCGCACCGCCTGCCTCAAGGCCTCCAGGTCCGGCTGGCTGGGCTCCTCCCGCTGCCCTTCGGGGTCCAGGAGAGAGGCAGCGCTCTGCTCCAGGGACGGTTTATTCAGCAGCAGCGCCGAGAGGGTTTTCAAGCTGCACAGAAACGGGGGCAGATAAGGCAGTCCCCTTCCCAGCAAGGGAGCCCCCCCCTCCCGGCTCTCCTTGGCCCACGCCTTCACGGCCGTCTCCGCCTCGAGGGAAAGGAGGCGAGAAAGTGGGGAAGCAGCGCCCTCCTGGGGTGGACCTGGCGTGGGGCAGGCCTGCAGGGCCGGGTCGGAGGGGACCTCTTGCGTGGCTGGGCCTCGATTCGGATGGGGTGGGGGCAAAGCCTCTGAATTGGGGGGGCTGGCCGCCGTCCCTCCAAAGGCAGTGCAAGGCAAGGAAGGCGCCCCCGCACCAGCAGGGGACGGAGGGCATCCCACTTCTGTGGAGTTTCCAAGAAGTGGCGGAGGAGGAGGAGGAGGAGGGGGAACATCTGCCAGCCGAGGTCCTGCATCACTCTGGGGGCAGCCAGGATGGCCCGCTTGCATTGGGGATCCCTCTACCACCGGATCCCCCATAGCTGGGGTGGGGATCTGGACTGAGGTCTCTGCAGGCTGGCTGGGATTCGTCGGAGGGCCACTGGCCAGTGGCTTTCCTTGGCTGGGGAGGGTCAGCAAAGTGACCGGGAGAAGGCCCTGAGGGGTCAGCACCCAGCTGATGGGCAGGGTGGGCTGGGCAATGGCAGTGGGCTGCGAGTGGGCAGCTACCAATGTAGGCAGGAGGGGAGGTAAAGCACCAGAGGCCGGAGTGGGGCCAAGGGCCTCTGCCAGGACGGGGTTCACGTTAGCAGGAGGCCCAGCAGGATCTTGGTTGCTGTCTCTGCCTTCTCCTCCAGCGGCCTCGTCCTTGTCCCCGTTGCAGGGAAGGGTCCTCTCCCGAGAGGCCCCCGCCAGGTCTGTGGGAGAGGCCGAGTCTCTTCCAGGCACGGAAGGCGAAGCAGGAGGAAGCCTGGGGGACGCCTGGCTGGCCGCGGGAGCGTTAGGGCAGTTGGCCAAGGGGGCGATGGGACCCCTGGTCTGTGGGACCACGACAGAGGTCGAGAGGAGCAGCTGAGGGGCGAGGAAGACCCTCTTCTGGGCGCCCTTCCTGGCCGACTGCTCGCGCAGCCTCTTCTCCCGCAGCAGCTCCGAGACGGTTTTCGGCTTGGGGGCCACGCCGGGTGGTGAGCGGGCCTTCCATGTGTTGGGGGGGACAGGCCCCTCTTTAGCCTTCAGAGGAATCAGCTTCTTGCTGGGCTGGCCGCTGGCTGCTGGCTGGCCGAGCTGAGCTGGGCAGAAATAAAGCAGAAGCTCAAATTTGGAATCTTTGCAGCAACTCTACTAAAAAAAAGCCCAAAGCCCTCCCCTCCAGCTGCGTCATTTGGAGACAGGACACAACCCTGTTGTCAACTCTGCTCAAGGCTCACGGTTTAATTGGAGTAACTGCCTGACCCCTGTTACAGCCTCTCCTCCCTCCGTCCTTCCATCACCTGCCAGGGTCTGGCTTCACAGAGTCCCAATCCTCCAAGGGGGCAGCCCTTTGGCTCTGGAATCTCAGCCTGCCACTGGACTAGAACCCTCTGTTGGCTCAATTTCACCTTCAGGCATCTGCTCCTGCTACTCGGGATGACCGGTGGGAAGCATCCAGGCAGGAGCCACAGTGAGATCCAAGGCAAGGCAAGGCCTCGGACAGCAGCCTGAGATTTGAGCACAGGTCCTGAGTATCCCCTCTTACGCCCAGGTTGGTGACCTTTCTTGGCCCTGGCATCCGCTCTCGCCCCGTGCCCACAGATTGGCACTTGGACCTGGCAAGGACTGCAAAGTAGCCCTGGAAAACAGCACCCTCCCACCGCCAGCTCGACCGGGAAACTGGGAGCAAAAAAACAAGAGGAGACACACACCTTTGGCATCCTGTGAAGACGAGGGCTGTGAAGGAAAAAAAGAACCAGCTTCAGTGATTGGCAGGTTAAATCTAATCCCTGTCAACTCATAAAACATTTTCTATGCCCGCTTTATAGCTGCCAACAGAAAGGTGTGTGGGGGGGGGGGGGGGGGGAACGACAAGAGTTTGAAAGAGCAGGGCAGCAGTTTCCATGCAGGCCTTGCAAAGATCGTAACTAAGCGGCTGGAGTTTCTGCCACGCAAAACTCCAGTTGGAGAACATGATGGATGACGCTATGGATGTCTTTTGTTGGAGAATATGAATTATGGTACACCCAGAGAGGTGGGGGAAAACCGGGGTCAAGGGGGACAGTGAATTACGTGTCTCAGAACGGCTACATCCAGGTCATGCCAATATGTCGCTCCTAATGAATTCTTCGAATCTCTTTGAAGTTTGGCTCGAGGCTCATGATTTAATTAGAGTGATTGCTGGAATCCTAACAGCCTCTTCCCCCGCCCCACCCGCTCCCACGCCTCAAATCTCTCCCGGAAAAGGAGACCCAAATGAACAGGAGTTGTCCCCTTGCAGGGGAAAAATTACTGACAACGGGTGCTCTGAATTAAAGCGAGCAGGAAGGTGACCGCCTGGGAAGGAACTCTTTCTTTCTTTCTTTCTTTCTTTCTTTCTTTCTTTCTTTCTTTC